TACAATCTGAAGATTAGCTAGCTAAATGAGTTATCTTTATGTTTGTATAGCCAGAGATAGCTGTGTTCTGTCCACAGTGCTTATTAATACAACAATGGCTGTTGATTACTATTGGTGTTGCTAACTTACCTCCATAAGCTGAGAAGGTTTTCCTTAAAAGCGGTTTTTCTTTTTGGTGATTGGGATCAAACCCAGGCAGGGCCTTGCACATACTAAGCAGGCTGTCTATCACTGAGCCACTCCTCCAGCTCTCCCAGGTCCTAAAAGCCTGTTTCTGTAGTAATAATTTTAGTTTGGTGTTTTGTTGTTTCTAGATTTCAATTATGAAGCGAGTGACTACAAGTTTTCAAACTACCACTGTTCTTTGGAGCTTGTCATTTTTGGAAGGGAGATGCCCTCTAGTTGAAAACTGATGCTCCATACTTTGTTCCAAGGGCGCTGACCTCCCTCTCTCCATATGACTTGTGTCTGTGGGTTGTCCTGTGTCTGTGGTTGTATAGTGGTGAGAGAATCTTGTCCACATTATCTTTATTTCAGGAACACTGAGTTAAAGGTGCCCAACGCCCTGCTTCTTGATATCATTTGAGATTTTGTTTTGCTTGCCCTTTGCATTGTGATGTCCTACAAAAAGCTTCCTTTTCTTTTATAGAATTTGGCTTATGACAGCAAATTTTCTTTTTTTAAGTTTTTTTTATTTAAAAACAATCTTATTTTACAAACCAATCCCAGTTCCCTCTCCCTCCCATCCTCCCATGCCCTGCACTGGTCCCACCCCACCACACCCCATCCCACCACCCTTCCACTCCCCAGAGAGGGTGAGGTCTTCTATGGGGGAAATCATCAAAGTCAGTCATGTCATTTGGGGGAGGGCCTCTGTTTATCTAGGCTGAGAGAGTAGCCCTCCGTGGGAAATGGGCTCTCAAAGACCATTTGTGCACTAGGTATAAATACTGTTTCCACTGTCGACAGCATATTTTCTAACATGGTTAAATGCAGAACCAACTTTGAATACCCCGCCCCCCATCAGCTCTAGTTAGATGTAAGTCTTTCTGTTGGAATCACTGTTGTCTGCATTTTCTCTGCTTGTTCTTACTCTCACTGTCTCTGCTTGTCTTTTCAGGAGGCATACATTCCTCCTCTTTCATTTTTGTTTAGCAGTTGATGGCTGAAGCTGCTTGGGAGGTAGAATACCAACTTTGAGATCAAGAATTACAGGAATTCAAGAGATGGTCCAGGAAGACCTATAAAGGTGTGACAGTGAAATACTGGTGGTAGCAAACAGAAAGATAGCCAGTAGTGGAATAGTGAACCTGGCATTGTATCCACACTCAGAAGGAAACCTGAGTTACAGAAGAGTTGACATTACAGGTCAGTGATGAAAAGAATATGTGGTTAAGTGCATAGTGCTGGCAAATTGATGTTTGTGCCCCACTCATCAAATTAAAAAAGCCAACAGGAAGATGGATCAAGAGCTTAAAAATGTGAGTGTTAACACTCTTTAGCATTGTAATAAAATTATATGCTATGGTATTTATAACCCTAGGGTAGGGTAGAATGTCCTTAAAACATAAAAATGTAGGCTGCCATGGCTGGAAGGATAGTGTTGGGTGGGTGCTTGCAAGCTCGGTGTGATCTGATTTCAGTCTTTAGAACCCTTGTAAAGGCAGAAAGAATCAACTGCACATTGTTCTCTAACCTCTACGTATGTACCACCACATAATATGCTCCCCTATCGTATGCTAACAAGTGAAAAAATTAATACAAACTTGTAGTGGGAGGTTTCTTGTCCTGCCTGCCAGTTCCCAAATAACCACTCTAAGGCTTAATATTAATTACAGTTGTTTGACCAATGGCTCAGGCATATTACTGACTAGCTCTCACAATTAAATTAACCCATTTCTAGCTGGGCAGTGGTGGTGCACACCTTTAATCCCAGAACTCGGGAGGCAAAGGTAGGTAGATCTCTGTGAATTCAAGGCCAATCTGGGCTACAGAGCCAGTTCCAGGATAGGCTCCAAAGCTACAGAGAAATCCTGTCTTGAAAAAAAAAAAAAGATTAACCCATTTCTATTATTCTATATTTTGCCACAAGGCTCATGACTTGTTTCCTCAGGTCTTGTTTCCTTAGTGGCTACATGACATCTCCCTGGCTCTGCCTTCTTTCTCTCCGTAACTGTTTAGACTTCCAGCCTAGCTATGTTCTGCCTGGCTGTAGGTCAAAACAGTTTTATTCATCAACCAATAAAAGCAACACGTATTCATAGCGTATAGAAGGACATCCTACATCACACACTGTTCAAATATTGACCCTTTCATCATTAGTATAAGACAAGTTAAAGGAAGTAAACAGAAAATGGCAGAAGAGATTTACAAATGTATACACATATGCAGTCAAATAGTATCCAGAGTGCTTAGCTTTTTATTTCATTTGTTTGTTTGTTTTCCCTAGGCATGGTTTCCCTGTGTAGCGGTTGTCCTAGAACCACTCTGTAGACCAGGTTTGCCTCAAACTCAGAGATCCACCTGCCTCTGCCTCCCAAGTGCTGGGATTAAAGATGTGTGCCACCACCACCTGGCTATGCTTAGCTTTTTAAAGCCTAACAAGCATACTCTTTTCTGACTTAACATTTATAGATAGTGGTTATTAGCATTAGTTTGACACTCATAACTATCTTAAGTTGATTGACCCTGCAGACTTAAAGTGATTCAGGCTAGGGGTGCAGTTTGTTGATTGCATGTTTAAGGCTGTGAATTTGGTCCTCAACAATATTAAACAAAAGCAAAAAGAAGCCATAAAGTGGACCATTACAGTGTTTTCTGGGTTACTAAGTTTGAAATTCAGACAGTTGTCTATAGGAAGCCCCATGGAAAGATGGGCCTTTGAAAGTGTAGTCTGATGTTTCTATAGTATTCAGTAATAAACCTCTAACAATATTCTATGTATTCAGAGCCACTTATTTTTTTACTCAAGCTACATTTGGCAACAGAAACACTGATAATGTTTCAGAGTTATAAAATAAGTGGCTATATGTTAATCTACAGGCTATCATTTACTCTTCTTTGTCTAATAGTGCAGGTCCAGACTTTACACATGTAGTTGTTTCTCCAAGTTGGAACCAAATCATAACAAGGCCCAAAACAAAACAAAGTGTTCCCTGTTGCTTCGTTTTTTTTCTCCTAGAAACAAACGTTTTACCTTATTAAAAAATAAACAGGCGCACACCTTTAATCCTAGCACTTGGGTGACAGAGGCAGGCAGATCTCTTTGAGTTTGAGGCCAGCTTGGTCTGTAGAGCAATTTCCAGGACAGCCAGGGCTACACAGAGAAACCCTGTCTCAAAAAAAAGGGGGGGGGGACTGTTAATGTAGCTTACTGATAGAACATATGCTTAGTATGTATTATAGGCTCTAGATTTGGTCCTCAGCCCCATATACCCTGAAAGAAAGAAAATACCGTAAGTAAGAAGAATGACTAAAGGGCCCAGGACCAGCACAGGAAGATTTGGTGGACTTTGAAGAGCCCCCAAATAAATAAATAAACAAATAAATAAATAAATAAAAGAAGAATGACTAAAGTACTGCCCCACAGCTATCTGTGACTTGGTGTCATGTTCCTACTGCTGCAGTACCTGTGCTTGCAGGTTCTCAGCCCTTTTATGTTGTTAGCCACAGTTTCACATTTCGTTCACCCCTCATCCTTTAGGCAATAAGGCAATCTGAATGGGAATTACAGCAATAGAAGTGTTTATCTAATAGGGGTAGGAAAATGCAGAAAATGATCACAGCGAAAAAGCTTGGAGTTCTGTGGTTCATAGATAGGACTTCTATAGTAAGGTGCTTTGTGAAACTGTATTCATTGTATAATAGTCCAAGCAAGCAAATGCTCAGTGTGCATCTGTGTATATTACAGATATATTGTGCAGTAACACTGTACTGTTTTTATGTGCAAATCTTGAACATGATTCTGCTAGAGCTTGTTTTTCTGTTCAGTCTAGACGGTAATGAATTGTCCCAAATAAACTCTGGCTTCTCTATAGTAAAGTTTCTAAAGTGTTTAGGGGATATTCAGGGAGCTGACTTGTTTGTGACCAAAAGAGGTGAAGATTTCCTTTGATCAGCAGTGACTGTGTTAAGTGACTCTGATCTAGGAGGCTAGTAGAATTTTTGATCTTTAGATGCTCTTCCTCAAGTTTTGTAAACGATGGCATCAAATATATTTTTCTATTAGTGGAAAATTAGGGACACACACACACACACACACACACACACACACACACACACACACACATATATCCAGGTTTGGTGGTGTACGCCTTATTATCTCAGCACTCAGGAGGCAGAGGCAGGTGTGGATCTCTTTGAGTTCGAGGTTAGCCTGGTCTATATAGCAAGTTCCAGGCCAGCCAGAGTTACATAGTGAGAAACTGTCTCAACTATATATTAATAAATTGATGGGCACTTTGTTTTGTATTAGCATAGACTTTGTCTCTCTTTGTTGGTGATCATTGTCTTTCAGCCTGTAAGTTGTGTAAGCTGGGCATGGTTTTGCTTCTCATAGTGTCACTAGCAATAAAAGTTTAGTTGATAGCAATCTAGCAAGCTAGTACTCTTAACTAAAGTTGACCTCACACTTTTCTCAGATAGCCACCTTTTTACTTACTCAGTGGGCTGTGACCAAGAGCTCCCCAAAAAGATAAGTGTAGTTCCCACATCTCTGAGAGGTGAACCCAGCAGTCAAAAACCAAGAAGATCTGATAGCTAAAGTCCCTCATTCCTCTGTATTTATATCTGCCAAGAGAAATTTCCTAATTGAAATGTTTCTACAAATTTTGGTGCACCGATTTTATGGCATATCCAGATATGCTTACCCTGCTGGCTTTGTCTCCTGTAGAAGGCATAGTCCTTGTAAGACAGTATCAAAGATAAATTTTGATGAGTAATAATTTTCAAGTAGCCTGGTTTTCCATACCTGATAGAAGTTGCTGCATCTTTCCAAACAGGTTCTCTAATGATCTTGCTTCACCATGGCTACAAATATGGAGGGGCTGGTTCAGCACAGAGTGGGGACCCAGCAGGTGGCTGAGGTGAGTGACAGGGGCTAGCACAATAGCTGGCACCCTTGCTTTTGAAAGGGTAGAAATCAGTGTGCTCTGTGGTTTTCAAAACAGTCCCGAGGAAGTCAGCACATAATACATATTATTCTGACACTAAATAAAAATAAAAATGACAAGAGCAGATGTTGATAAGATTTTTCTGCATGGGCAGGGTGGCTGTATACAATAAGGTGACTTGAAATTTTACCTCAGCCCCAAGTCAACAGACTCTGATTCTTATTGTGCTCTAATTTTAACTCTAAGGCTGTGTCTTATAGTTTTTTATATATCTGTTACTGTGCAATGGTAGACTAGGTTATTTAACTACTTGCTACTGTCTGTAGTACTGAAATACGAGGTTGCTCACCAGACCCAGATAAGGAGTACCAGTAAGTATAACACTATGTGCAATAGATGGCTCTTCACTGACAAACATTTATCAAATAGACCTAGGTAAGTACAGTGAGAGATTTGTGGCAGAATCTAGGCAGGTTAACATGAGGAGAAACTTACAAAGAAGGATTGAGGCATGAAACAGCTTGGTATCTGTAGGCAACATGAGGTGTAGAAGTGTAATCAAGGCCAGACCTTGAAAAGTGCCGTTGCTGTACCATCACTTATAACATAGTTGAATATTCAGTAAACCAGAACCTATGCAAGGTTAACTCTGATGATAACCTTTTGAAGTTGGTACTGTTACTGTTTACATTTTATAGATGAGAAACCAAGCCTCAAAAACATGTTATTAGCCAAGAGCTTATTGTAGCAGAAATGAGATTCTGACCCAGGTCTTTGTACTTTTTATAAACCTCCCTGTTTTAGTTTACAACCATGGACCCTTAGAAAACATGAAGATTTTCATTTTTGAATTACATTCTGAAGCAAAGACAAATTTACTGAAGAATGTACATTCAAAGAAAAGACATGTATGAATCAATCTATGTGCTTTTTGCCTGAATTATGTCTGTGCACCATGAGTGTACAGAGCCTGCAGAGGTCAGAAGAGTGCATTGGATCACATGGAACTAGAGTAAAGATGGTTGTGAGCTGCCATGTGGGTGCTAAGAATTGAACTCCAGTCCTCTGGAAGAGCAGCCAGTGCTTTTAATCACTGAGCCATTTCTCCAGTCCCTAGAAATATATGTATTTAAATGATTATTTGTATTTTATGTGCATTGGTGTTTTGCCTGCATGTATGTCTATGTGAGGGTGTCAGATATCCTGGAACAGGAATGACAGACAGTTGTGAGCTGCCATGTGGGTTCTGGAAATTGAACCCAGGTCCTCTGGAAGTATAGTCAGTGCTCTTAAGAGCTGAGCCATTTCTCCAGTCCGTAGAAATATATTTTAAAAGAAATATTAGAACTATCAAAATATTTCAGCTTAAATGTTTGTATTTGTTGTTTTAATTTGTGACAGGAATAATTACTTTGATAGTAATTATTGGTTTTTCAAGTATTCAGGATTATTTTACATTTAATAAGAATTTCCTATTGAGGCTGATTTGATATGTATGTACATTGCTTTAAAAGGCTATCATGAATTCTTTAGGGGAAGAAATTAGCATTAGTATCTATTCCATGGATGTATTCATGGAATACTAAAATTCACTACTAGGTACCACTCCTGTCCTCATAGTCACTCTTTGATCTGTGGAGAAAGTCTAAATCTTAACAGCAGAAACTTAATGTTTCCATGTAAGGGAATGTTTAAAAATGGAGCTCTCCCAGCTCTGAAACAGTACCGGGCAAGGACACATCCTTCTAGGGAAAAAGCGGTCATCCCTCTGATGTGAGGTTTCTGAGTCTTGGACTGTCCAACTTTTATGAATAAATTTGATTTCTCTGCCCTCTTAGGAACTAGACACATAAGTTCCCAGATTCTTTTTGAAGAAGTGCACATATATATCATGAATTTAGGCCAACATTACTATAGACTTGAAGCAGCAAACGGTAGGCTCCTGAACCAGGCTTACTTCACCCTATCCTTACCCTGAAGTTTGCTATCTTTATTTACCTTCTTATAAAAATGTCTTTGCCTTCTTCTTGACTTATCAGGTGTAGACAAATCTTTTTCTTTAAGAACTTTTTTCTTTGAGATAAAATATGCAGATCTTAAGATTCTCATTTTACCATTTTTATTACTGTGAAATAAACATACTAAGTTCCACCTGAACCAGAAGTCTAGCTCAGTGACATTAAGTATGTCCACTTAGTGTACACTACTCATTTCCAGAACTTTGTCATTATCCTAGACAGAAACTCTGTCCTGTTAAATTCTGATACCCCACCCTGTTTATGTTCCTCGTAGCCACTGGTCTGTTTCTGTGAATTTGATTGCTCTAGGTATCTCATATTAACAGAATCATGGCTTTACCATTTTGTGTCTGGTTACTTGAGTGAGCATAATGTCCATAATATTGCTCTATGTTGTTGTACATGTCACAATTTCTTTATTTTTTAAGGATGAATAATGTTCAGTTGCAGCTATATACCATGTTTTGTTTGTTCATTCATTGATAGACTTTGGGTTACTTTCTTTTACCTCTTCACTACTGGAATGCTGCTATGAAATATCTAAGCCCTTGCTTCCAGTTCTGTTGGATAGATACTTAGGAATGAAATTACTGGACCATATGATGATTTTGTGCTTCAGATTTTTACCATATGATGATTTTGTGCTTCAGATTTTTAGATTACCGTTACTGTTTTCCATGGTGACCACACCTTTTTTGTGTCCACCAGGAGCACACAAGTGTTACCTTCATGTCCTCAGTGGCACTTGTTTTCTGTTTTGTCTTGTGTTTTGATCAATGCCATTCCAATAAATAATGTTGTGGTGTCTCGCTGTGGTTGCACTTCCCTAATAATTAGTGACAACCAGCAGTACTTCACTCACTCACTCACTCACTCACTCACTCACTCACTCACTCACACAGACAGACAGACACACACACAGACACACACACACACACACACACAGAGTCTTTGGACAAATAAATATTCAATCTCTTTGCTCAATAATTTTTTTTTCTTTTTTGGTTTTTTGAGACAGGGTTTATCTGTGTAGCTTTGGAGCCTATCCTGGCACTCACCCTGGAGACCAGGTTGGCCTCGAACTCACAGCGATCCCCCTGCCTCTGCTTCCTGAATGCTGGGATTAAAGTCATGCTCCACCAACGCCCGGCGAGCATTAAATTTTTTGATTATTAAACTTACCATATATTTGCCTACAAATATGGCTTCTTTTCTATGGCTTTCCTTTTCATTCTCTCAGTAGTGTTCTTTAAAAATGTATTTATTTTTGTATATGGCTGTGTATCTGTGTGAGTGTATGTGCCCAGAGGCTTTGGAGCTGGAGCTACAACTGATTGTGGGCCACCTGAATAATGCTCTGTTAAGCTTTGCACCATGCTTTGTTCATTAATTTCATGCCCATCAACCAACCCTTTCCATTCTTCCTTCTTTTTTTATCTACCTTCACCAAAAGTTGATGAATTCTATTTTTTTTTTCATTTGGTTCCTTGATTTTGGTATCATATCCAAGGATTTATTGTAAAGTCCAATGTTATGAGGCTTTCCTATGATTTTATAATTTGTCTACAAGGCATGGACCTGGCAACATTGTGTGTATTCTTTGTGTATCTTTGTGTGTATTCTTAACACAATTTTGTGAGAAAAAAAAAAAAGGTCCTTCTCCCATTGAATGGCTTGGCATCCTTGTCAAGAAACAGTTGATATTTCTCCAGAAATTTATTCTGTGCTTCCCCTACTCCATTACCTATATTGGTAAAGCCCACATGGTGTGAAATTTAACAACTTTTCAATATATAGTATAGTGTTAAGTATATTTGCAATGTAAATTTCATGATAAATCTTACAAATGTTAATTCATTAAACTGTAATAACCAGTTCTCAGCCCTGGCGGACAACCTATCATCCACTTAATGTGAACTTGATGGAGCCTGTCCCTTTGTGACTAGCTTAGCTTAATTTCCTTAAGGCTTATGTTTTGTTTGGTTTGTCATTATGACACTACTACATTGTTTTGATTACAGAAGCCTTTTGATAAAGTGTGAAACATCCAACTTTCTCTTTTTCAGGATTGTTTTGACTAGATCTCTTCCTTCTTGTTTTGGATTCTTTGCTCCCTGAAATCCCATTGGTTTTGTTTTTTTTTTTTTTTTTTTTGCCTTCATGTAAAAAAAAAGGATGTATAATAGCCCTTTTTTTGTTGTTCTTATACATGTAAACATGTTTTCATGTTCCCATATTTAGTGATAGTTGAGGGGGAAATCTATGTTAAATAGTTTTACTTAAAAATTTCAAAGCATCATTTTAATGTCTTCCTGCTTTGAATTTTGCTTTTGAAAATGTCACTGAAGAGGGGCATCCTCCATCCTCCTCGTCCTCCTCCTCCTCTCCCCTCCTCCTCCCCCCACTTTTTTTTTTTTTTTTTTTTTTTTTTTTTTGACTTTTTGGCTTTTTGGCTTTTTGATACAGGGTTTTTCTATGTAGACCTGGCTGTCCTGGAACTCACTTTGTAGACAGGCTGACCTTGAACTCAGAGATCTGCCTGCCTCTGCTTCCTGAATGATGGGATTAAAAGTATGCACCACAACCACCCAGCTTTATTCTCTTTTAGTTCGTTCTTCCCTTCCTCCCTTCCTCCCTCTCTCCCTCCCTCCAGACAGGTTCTTGCTGTGTTGCCCCAGACGAGTCTTGGACACAAGGGATCCTCTTAGCCTCCCAGGACCAGTATCTATACCCAGTGGAGTATAGGAACAGTAGCTGGCCAGCAAGCACTCTTGCTCATGCTCCCCCTCCCAATCCCTTCTTATATTCTACTCTTGTCTTCCTCTCTGCTTCACACTCTTTGACACACATTGTGGTCTCAGGAAGGAACTGAAGTCATTGTACATGTTTGGCAAGCAATTCACCACTGAAATTTTATCTCTTTCCTTTTTCCCTTCATAATTTTGAGTCAAGGTC